CCCGCGGGCAGCGGACAGGGTTATCCGCTGCCCACGCGCTCCGCGGCTTGGCTCTGCTTGCTTCCTGTAGTCAGCCGCTGGTCAGTTTCAGCAGCGGCTGAATCTGGACGCCAGTTCCGACTTACATACAAATTCAACTTAAGAACAAACCTACAGTCCCTATCTTGTACGTAACCCGGGGACTGCCTGTACAGTACTTGACAGAGGTTGAGCAATAGCGACATAGTGTGAAAGTCCACTTTGGAGGGGCAGAGGGCTCAGCAATACCCCAGTTGAACATTGCACTCTGGAAAGGCCTATCAAAGGAGGTTCAGGTTAGACATTAGGAAAATATTCCTGCCAGAGAAACTAAGCACTGGACTTACATTGCCTAAGGAGACTGTGGAATCTCCAATATTGAAGATTTTTAATAGCAGATTAGACAAACGTGTGTCATGGATGGTTTAGATAATAATTAGTTGTGCCGTGAGTACAGGGCACTGTGTTAGATGACTTCTCAAGGCCCGTTCCAGTCCTACAATTCTATGACTGTTGACTAGAATGAAAGGGAATGCACTGTTTTCTTGTAGGAATCCTTTCATTAGGGTGTTTCCAACATGAGCTCTCTTTTTATTTGAAACCTGTAGTAAATTACCAAGTATTAAATACAATGTCTAGTTATTCTTAAGACCAAAAAGGTATGTAAAAGGACATTCAACTCTATCAATGAATTAGTTTATTATATATATCAATTCCCAATTTTATATTATGTTTCTCTGTAATGATAGCTAGATGCTTTCTGACATTTCTCTAGTTTGCAGTTACAACTACTAAGTAAAAGCGGTGAGGAGTCCTGTGGCACCTTATAGACTAACAGAAGTGTTGAAGCATAGGCTTTCGTTGGCAAAGACCCACTTCGTCAGATGCATGTATTGGAAATTTCCAGAGGCAGGTATAAATATGCAGGCCAGAACCAGGGTAGAGATAACCAGGTGAATCCAATCAAGGACGATGAGGCCCACTTCTAGTAGATGATCTGGAGGTCTATAAGGTGCCACCGGACTCCTCACCACATTTGCAGATTCAGACTAACACGGCTCCCCCTCTGATAAATGACTAACTAGACTTTCGTGAGTGCCACTACAAGCTATATTTATCTGATTGAGATGAGGTACCCAATACCATGACATCCTTCCTTCATTTATTTAACATGATTTCCAATTGTTTTTCAAGATGTAAAACAACATTTATGTATGCATTTAAAACCACTGATAATTGTTTCTGTATAAATATAGCATGTGTGTTTGGATCCTTGCTCAGCTGAGCTCTCTGGATAGGAGAATATTATCCATACTGGGATACACAAATACACTGCTGATAAAAACAGGATAAGTAGCTAATAGAGCCCACTTGAAAAGCAAGAACTATAGTCTTTAGAAAAAGCTCAAAACTACACTCTCTTACTTCTGGGGACAACTACCTAAAATCATGAGTAGTGTGGAGAAGGCCGATAAAGACAAGTTATTTATTAGTTCCCTAAATAGAAGAACTAGAGGACGCCAAATGAAATTAATGGGTAGCAGGTTTAAAACTAATAAAAGAAAGTTCTTCTTTACACAGCGCGTAGTCAACCTGTGGAACTCCTTGCCAGAGGAGGCTGTGAAGGCAAGGACTATAATAGAGTTTAAAGAGACACTAGATAATCTCATGGAGGTAGGTCCATAAAAGGCTATTAGCCAGGGGATAAAATGGTGTCCTTGGCCTCGGTTTGTCAGAGGCTGGAGAGGGATGGCAGGAGACAAATCGTTTGATCATTGTCTTCAGCCCACCCTCTCTGGGGCACCTGGTGCTGGCCACTGTCGGCAGACAGGATACTGGGCTAGATGGACCTTTGGTCTGACCCAGTACGGCCGTTCTTATGTTCTTACCTGAAGTGCATTGTGGAACTGGAACACTTTCCTAATATCTAAAATATAGGCAAAACACACTTCTTTGTGTATAATCTATTAAATTGGTGTTACCCATAATCCTCACCTTTCTCGATCCTGTTCCAGGGCTTTTTGTTCAGCTTCTAGAGTTGCCTGAAGACCTGCCTGTTCACTGCAGCTGCTGTTCAGAATTGCAAGTTTTTGTTTTTGCTCTTCAATTTCAACATCTATTGTGGAACGACGCTGCAAAGCTGAGTGTCTCCTTTCCAACTTAGCCACTGCTTGCTCTAGCGCCTCTCTCTGCTGTTTTTCCCTTGATTCAAGAATTTCTTTTTCTTTTTTCCGAACTTTTTCCTCCTGACGAGCTATGTTGGCTGTAAATTCAAATGTTTCTTGAAGCTGCTGTAGTTGGTTAGTGCTGGCTCTATATTGTGCAAGCTGTTCTTCTTTTTCTTCCATTTCTTTCTCAACCTGATAAAGAGTATTGTCTAAACCTAGCAGACCTCTATCAAGAACTTCAAAGGCTCTCTGTTTTTCTTCCAACAAAGCTGGTAAGTGATTGTACATCAGGTATTGAAGCTGGCGCTCTTTATATTGTAAACTGTATTCTGCTGGCTTTATCTTGTCAAATTCTTCAACCATCATCGCAGCATCCACATTTTCATCGTCTTTCTTGAGATGTAAGCATTCTTTGTGTGCATATTTTAAATGATCCAGAGTTTCACATTCATCTGCTACTTCCTTTTCTAGATGATCTCTCTGTTGAAATAAGTCTTTCTCCAAAATAGTTAACTGTTCTAATTGCCTTCTTTTAAAGTCCATGAAATTATGCTGCGCTTTTTCTAATTCTTCACTGTCTTCATCACCTTCAGATCTGGCTTCCTTGACCCTCAAGAGAGATTCTCTAATATCTTCAAGTTCCCTTTTCTCTTCTTCCACCCTTTGCACATCCCCTCTTTTGAGTAGTTGTATCATGACCTGTTTCTCCCTAAGCTGTCCTTCTAAGTGAGCCACTTGCATTACCTGCTCCCTTTCTTGTTCTTCAAGCCTCCTCTTCTCTAATTCCAGCTTGATATACTGCTCATCTTTTTCCTTTTTAAGCTTTTCTAGTTCTTTGAAAATCTGCATTTTCTCAACTTTTTCATTATGATTAAGTTCTTGCAAGCGCTGGAGTTCTTCCTTAACTCGAGCAAAAATTTCTTCCTGTTGCTTCTCTCTCTGAAGTTCTATCTCCTGCTGTTCTCGTAGTCTTTCTTCTTCAAATTTCTCTTTTTCGGCCAGCAAGTCTTTTAACCTGCTTTCAATGTGAACACTTCGCCGCTTCAGACTCTCTTCCTGTTTTCGGATTTCCAGTTGTACTATTTCTGTTTCTTTGCGCTGTGACTCCACCTCTTGCTGCATTCTTTCTAGTTCTGCCTTGTCAGATTTTTGTTTTTCTTCCATTTCTTCTATCAGTTTCCTAAAATAAAATATGTACAATATGTATTTGAAATGAATACTTCCAAAAGTTCCTTCCTTTTCCCTAATATGTCAATATTCCTAAAAGTTAATAGCATTTGGAAGAGGATCTAAAAACACAAACAAAACAATTCAAATTGGTATAAGAGACAATTTTATTTCAGTCTTTTTTTATTTGCCTCATGTTAGAAATGTGCCTTCAGAATTTAGCAGCTTACAGTTAACTGTTTTTCTCCAGAAATTGAGGTATCAGATCCAAATTACTTCAAGCAAAGCTTTATTTGACAAGCAGATAGTTCAGTATATTTCAGTTCTGCAGTGTATCATTACATTATCTTTAAATTGTAGGTACATGAAATTACATGAAGTCAATTCATGTTAGTAGTAGCATAATTACATGCTTAAACCAGAACACCACCATCCAATGCAATAATATTTATTAAACACACACTGCGTGCCTGCACTGCATAATAAATTTCAGATATGATTACATTTTTAAAAATTGTATGCTCCAATCTTGTTTTAGTCAACTGTTTTAATCCAACAAAGCTCACGCTTTTATGCAACCTTCATTTTATAAATGGTACATTTTGTTGGAAGTGTTGGAATACCTGCTGTCGCCTAGAAACAAACTGTCTTCTCTTTCTTAATACACAAGATAATCTTCCTCTCTCCATTTTTTGAGGACGGAAGGGGGGGTTTCAAGATTAGTAATGAAGTAGAGTAGCAAAAGCCAAGCTACACATATTTGCATAGTGCAATGGCCTGAAGAGTAGTATAATGGTATTGTACAGCCAAAATTTAGCCTTGAATAAGTAAAATATTCAAACCCAGGCAAAATAAGAGAACAAAAGAAAATACATATAGAGAACAGATAATATAATCTGAACTCGGATCATACATATGCCTTCATATTTACTCAGCCACAGTGAGTATAGTGAGGAAGGATAGTCATAAGAATGAACAGACATAATAGGTCAGACCAAAGGTCCATCTAGCCCAGTAACCTGCCTTCCGACAATGGGCAATGGCAGGTACCCCAGAGAATGAATAGAATAGCTAATCATCAAGTGACCCATCCCTATAGTCCATTACATTAGGGCTTAAGCTTCAAAATCCCTGGACTTCCTGTGTCACTTTAGACAAGTAACTTTGCCTCTTTTAGTTTCCCATCTGTAAAATGGGGACAACAGTACTTACCTACTCAACCAGGATGTTCTGAGGATAAATTCATTAAGGACTGTGAGACACTCGAACATTGAGATTATGGGGGACAAATACCTCAGATGGGTAGTAGACAGAAGTTACCTTTTACTTTCTAATTTGTCCAGTTCCTCTCGTTGTTGTCTCTCAAATTCAAGTCTAAATAAAAAAAACAGGGGAAAAGGAGGGTTATTTCTTGAAAAATCACAGAATGGAAATAAAGCATGGTTTATTTTACATCATGGTGTCTGTTTTAAAACTTTACAATAAAAGTGTGACTGGCAAGTTTTCCAATAGCTTAATATGCTCTATAACAATTGAAAATACTTCCTTAAATATGGCCACAAATTAGATTGTGTGCTGCTGGGCACTTGTATGGATGCTGAAAAGTAAATGAACTTCTGGAAGAAACTATTTTAATAGTAAAGTTAAACAAGACAGATGAATGATTAGCAAGCCTCTTGAGTTAAGTATATGCAGACATGGCAATCAATATATAGAAATTGAGTTTCTCTACCTTAGACAGATTGGTCCTTTTACAGGGAATAGACTGCCACAGGAGGTAGAGAGAAACAAAGTGATAAATTAAGAAAGGAACTGATAGAAAAAATGTCATGAAAACAGCAGTGATGAATATATTAAAGCCAACAACCTATCTACAAAATTAGCTTCAAAAAAGAGCAAACGTTCAGACTGTTAGTTTTGCTTTATCAGAGGTTACATTTGTTAGGTTCATATACTTCAAACAATAGACAATGACACTAACTCTAATATAAACATCTATTCACATAAATTCAAGTTATTTTTCCAACGCATGCTTTCATATGCCAATGATTGTTATTCAACTTTCATGTTCCTTTGGCTTATGAACTGGGCACAAACTTGAAAAAGCTAAAGGTATTTGAATTTCAAAAGGCCCTAAATAGAGCATGAAAGCTATTTTTCCCTCAGAATAAGCAAATACTCATTGTAATTCAGTTGTTATAATACAGCTAAGAAAAAGATGATTAGGCCAACATAAAATGAAACATGTATAAAAACCCCATTTCTAGGCATCAAAATCTTTGGATTCACAGGGGTTTTGGTAACTGGGGCTGTTACAGGTATTTTTAATAGTGCTGGGAATATTATGTGACATTAGAAGTGTCAAGTGCCTGAAGCTCTTGAACAGCCGTCTCTTTTAAAAGTATTTAAATTTAAATAAAATATTGATTAAAAGACTCATGCCCGGGGCCATCACCTACATTTTCATGAGAAGTAATTTCATATTAAGGACTCAGCTGAAAAATATTTATATAATACATAATCTATACTTTATTTAATATTGTTTTCCATATATAATAAAACTGTCTACTACAGAAAAGGAAAAATAGGCACTGAATGGGACAGGTGTAACTGGAATGTAAAATATACAGCAACAGTCTATTGTTTATATTTAAAAATTGCTAAAATGGATTTCTTGTACTCTAGGCACCTCAGTTAATCTGTTAAATACAGAAAAAATCAACACTACTTCATAAACATAACCTCAGTGACTGTGAAGCTAAATAGAATTCCCACCTTCTATAGGTATCAGCCCTCATCCTCAAAAGTTCCATTAATGAGAATAAGAATACCCTAAACATCAACAGATTTGAGTTACACATTTTGGTCTACAGTAACACATTCCAAAGGAACAGAGCCCTCAGAGACCACCCTGCCAATAAGCCACTACTGTTCATATCAAGGGAATGACTAATTAGCATGCCTCTGCTTATTTCAACTTCAATAGTATGGTACAGAAAGGGAAGAACTCTCTCCAGAAGACAGACTTTAAGCTACTTAGCACTGAACAGGTCAATGCCAACACCCAGAACACAAGAGCAGATCATGAACGACAAACTGCATGTGGTTTTGATGGGGTTCCTCACTGAGGCATGATATTCTGGACTAGCTTTAGCTCAGAAAAGGGATACAAAGCAATATTGTAGTGTAATGTCAGGGTTATAAAATACATGAATTACAACAGTGTAGACTTGAACAAAAAAAAAAAGATGCAACCTCTTTGGAAAATGAAAAGGAAAGTGAAAGCTGCCTTGGGTACCAATGAATGATGGCAACTCAACAGGAACTAGGAATGTAATCAAACCATCAGATTGTGGACACAAGTAATACACAGTGGGGAAGTGTGCCTGACAGACATTGAAAGATACAAAAGCTTCAGAGGGGTAGCTGAATTTCCACCCCCCTAACCGGAAACCTACTGACTACTACACTTACCATCATGCCTCTAGTTTCCGTCCCAGACACATTTCTCAATCTATTGTATACACCCAAGCCCTGAGAGACAACTGTATTTGCTCCACTCATTAATGGATCTCCGAGTCCCCATTTTGTTTCAGACCAATTCCACAAGCCAAATACACTGAGAAGGGTTGGACTTAAGAATTAAACTTGGGAATAAAGTTATGAAAATGGTATGAACTGGGATACCAGCTGGCTCCCACATTATCTTCCACATCTTAATGACTTAACCAAACAAACAATGAAGGTGCTAATGGTTCTCATCAGCCTCTTGTGACTATTTGAACTATCTACTCACTATCTCTTTTTTTTCTCCTCTTCCTCCCCCCCTTTTTTACTCCTTTTTTTTTCCTTCCTTCCCTTCCCCCCTATTTATTCTTGGATCTGGACTTCTAACACTTCTGTCATCTAAAGTAGGTTATGCCCACGAAAACTCATGATACCATCTATATGTTTTGTTAGTCTTTAAGGTGCTGCTAGATTTGTTGTTTTTTGACAGATACAAATTTGCCATATTTCTCATTGCCTTCCTCCATATCACCTGTAACAGCAGAACTGTATGAGACAGTTAACTCTCATCCATACTCAAATCTCAACCAAACACTGGGAAAGGAACTCAACTACACTGCTGGGGTTGTACTACATACAGCTAGTGTACTGCACATTAAAAACAACAAAGGCTTATGCTTCCTTATTAGTAGACTCATACACATATTATTCATGTGAGAGGAGAAAAGTGACCTTTGGGGAACTTCATGTAAGAGCAGTCTCTCTTTACAATAATCCCACTTAGAACAGTGCTATCTATCAATTCTTACCAAGATTAAAGCAAATCAACACACCCTCAGGGTCAATAATTTCAAAGACAGCTAGCAGATCCAATACCAGAATGAATAGTTAGAACCAAGTTTAAACTGGTATATTGGTGATTTAAGTTGAGACAGACTGATTTAATTAATGTATCTCTAGAAAGTAGTTAATATCCAGACAAAGATCAGAGAATTTTGAGGCGTTAACTGCTGCGAGTTACCTTACAACAAACTTGTCAGTAATCCTTACCACAAGGAGTTGTAATGATTTCTTGAGCACAAGTCATACTAAAGACAAACATCTGGCTGCCAGCGTCTCTCAAAAGTAAATATTGACAATTTCCACCAATACAAGAGTAAGCATTTCCCTGCTGGGCTTCAGCAACTAATAAAGACATGGATTCATATTCTCACAACACTTTCAATTCCTGGACTGCCATTACAGGCAGTCCCCGACTTACGCGGATCCGACTTATGTCGGATCCGCACTTACGAATGGGGCTTTTCTCGCCTCGGAGCTCACGGGCGGCGGGTTGCCACCCGTGTCCTCCGGGGCAAGAAAAGCTTCTCCGTCTCCCTGGTCTGCTGGGGGGGTCCAGCAAAGCCGCTGGACCCCCCCCAGCA